GGCGCTGACGATTCAGCACCACGCGGCAGCTATCTGCGTAATTGGTATGGGTTGTAAAGCATGGGTTTGATGCGGATGAAATCCTTTAACATCACAATGCGATTGTGAATCTCTCTATCTTAAAAAAGTAGATAGAATCCGTAATATTTTAAACTTAATTAAATGTAAAATGAAAGATTTCTTTATTCGTCACGTTGAAAGTCTGTTGACTTTGCGCTAATTTTCATTAATTGTGGTACTAGGAGTGCAATTTCTTGAATCCATCTACGCAACAAGAATTCTGTTCTTAAGTGCGATTCTTAGAGGGACAAACATGTGATGTTTACAATGTAAATGATGAAATCAAGCGTTCATAAAAAGATCAAGAAGAGCAGTTATTTACCAGATAGACTTTTGCCTCGAGTACATTTAACTCGCCTGTGCGTGAAGATAACATATCACGTTCCCCTTTGTTTGTTGTGGTGCACCCCCCTTGAAACGAACGTTTTTGCTACATTGTCTTCCTGTTTTCGTCCCACTCGCGCCACCTCCAGCCCGCCACGGCTTCGTCCGTCCCCCCACCTCCCCTCTCCTTCCCCTTTCCCCCTCCCCTTCCCCCTCCCCCTCACCCAGCCAGACGCCCGTGTGCCGCAATGCGCACTATTTTCCGTTCCCCTAGCCCCCCGCCCCCGCCCCGTCCCTCCACCCCTTCGCAACCCATCTTCCCCTCCACGGCCCCGTGCTATGGCGACGGTCTTGGCCAGTCTTCCACAGTGACGTCACTCCCGAATCCCGCACAGACCGATTAGAGCCTGGCAAAGAAACTAAAAGGGCATTCATCTGGCGTCCCGCGCCACTGCTGCCGCTTCTATCGCATCCTAGCGGGCACTGGGGGAAGCGAGGTGCCAACACTCTTGCCAACAGCGACAGAACGACCCCGCTTGTTGGAGCTTCATTCGCATTGATCCACTCTTTCGGTGTTCGTCGGTTAAGCGGCACCTAGGATCTTCTGTACTAAACTGTGGTGATTACCCAGGCAGAACATGAATTATCTGCAGTTGTGATCAGTTGTACGTCATTAGAAAATTCAAAAAACCCACATCATGAATTCCCGTTTTTATATATTAAAACCAAAACTAGATTTAAACTTCTCTTTACTAGAAATATTTAAATATACTTTACACTGTAGCTAAACGACTCAAGGTTTTTCATTCTAAAGAACGGTAATTTCGAAATTTCCCTTTTGCTCGGTGTTAGGTGCTGTTTCATTGTTCTCTTACGAGTAACACTTGGCCTTTTTGTGAGATACGAACAATGGGCCACAGACACAATTTTATCACCTCTGTAATCATATTGTAAATTAAAGGTGTCGGCCCGTTATCAGAATTGCAATCTCTCGAAACCCGGGGAGAAAGTATTTAACTTTTTAAAAACTATTCCAGCAATTGTGCAAATTCCTATTAGTTATTGATGTCGGAGTATCTTATGACATTGTGCCATACTTATATGCAAGTTTTAATGTCTCATCATTGTGAGACAAAAAATATTTATGTATATTATTTATTAATTTCTTTATTTATTCTACCTAGGAGGGAATTTTAAAAGAATATACTGATTTGGCTACTACTTTATTGAAATATATGCATTTTAATTATAAAAATGTAATTCATGGGATTATTTGACCTTCCATTGTAGCCAAATGATATCATGGTATGATATTGTTGTAATTTTTAGCGTGATTTAAAGTGAAACTTCAATAACACTTTTTTCTTGATAAAATATCCCTTTATTCCCGCCATGATTAAAGCCCAGGATTAAATATTTTAACTGAGCGGGAACTCGATAATAGTACAGTGTAAACACAGAAATGCCAGTTTGATCAAAAAGAGAACTTGATTGACAAGTATTAACATCACATGATTGTTTTTTAACGAGGACTTGGTTATTGTTTATTGAAATAAATACTTATATTGAGGTTATTGAGATTGTTGAAATATTAATTCTTGGGTCAGTAATTGCATTTTCCGAAATTTAGACAAACGTAAGGTAAATGAAGCAGTTCTTTTCTCATTGAAACGTCAACGCTAATATCTGTTGGGAAACTGCAATTTTATTTTAAGCAGATTTCTCAAAGAATTCTGCGAACTTCTAAAGAAGTTAACCTTTGCAAATTTGTTACATTTTCTTGGTTTGTAGCTTTCACCCTGCCGCACATAAAAAGCGATTAAATATTACAATGGATATTTGTGAATATCATTTACTTCAATAGGTACCAAAGTTTTCCAGATAAATGCGTTGTTACTTGTTCGGATATATTTTGTCTTTAAAGTTCTGTGATGTTACATTGAAGATTGTATTATAATTTGAAAGTGGCGAAAATTTTGACGTACAGTTAAAATATACCAGTAAAACATCTTATACAAAACCACCATTACTTCTCTATTGTTCCTCTGTTTGCAATAGTTTTCATGTTTCACTAAAGCATTTATTAAAAATTCTGAAGGAAATCTTCAGAATCCACGTAGACTATTGCTTAAGAAAAGTTTGAAATCCCGTACCTTGTTTGTAATGCATATAATTTCAAATACTCCCTGAAGTTTGTCGATAGCCATGGATGTTAGTGTGTGGTCCTTCATACAATCCTGTATGCGTATTTGAAACTAACACAAAATTAAATGAAATTGTTTAAAAATAAAATGTGCATGGCACCGTATTAAAGTGAGATTTATTTACTTACGATAGTGAATATTTCACAAACTAGTACTAAAACGCTCGGGATATAACTTTTCTCCCTCTTGAAAAAAGCTTTTCTTAAATACTTTGTTTTCTATTAAGACGCTACTTGAAAAACCGTTGAATATCTAATAATGACGAAAAATATATGTTGAAAAAAAACCTTATTATAAGAAGAAATTCAGAAGTTCTCAAAAGTACTTAATATTTCCTATTTTGAAGACTTAATGCAATATGCTCGAAGACTTACACTTGTGAGTTTCTTTATTCTTCTTTATCAATCAAGGTTAATTGATGTGCTGCTTGTTCTCTGTCCGTCGTTAAGCAAGATTTGTTAATACGAAATGGTACAGTGAAATATCAATTCATTGGCTAATGACACCTTAAAATGCCCCTACTGTGTATAATTAAATAGGTCCTTGAATACGTGAATTAGGCAAGCCTCTATATCTATGTCTTTAATTTCTAATTATATTACGTTCATGGGTTGTAGATATAACCTGCATTACTTATCACAACTGGGTCTCTTACTTCTAAAAGAAAAGCTATGTGTTTCGTTTACTTGGCATTGATAACTCGTATCTTTATTAACTCTCATGAAAGAAATCAATGTTTAGGAGCGAATTTAATGAGGCCATACGCAGTGAAAGAAACTACTGCGACAGTGGAGGGCGGGTTGAGATATCTCGAAACAAACGAGTATGGTTAATCAGTGCTGATTGTGGGTACAGCAAAGCAGGTACGCATGAGCATTTGCAAATGAGGTGCAGCGTAAGCAAAACTGATATTTTTCTGTGAGAAGAAGCACTCGTAATCTAATACTCCTGACTATATAATGATTAGAAAATTGCCTCGTATGCTAATTGGGCCATCAGGAATAAGCAAGTTTAATTTGTTTGTGTCAAGGTCGGTCTCTCACCACATGCGTTAACGAAAGAGCCTGACTTAAGAAATTTGGAACTCATCCGACTAGAAAAACTCACGAGCTAGATGTCAGATGTTTGCAGGGCTGCCTTAGGCTGTAAGAAGTGAATCCGAAACGGTTAATACCCGTTTACATAAAAGAGCAAGCACGCACATGTTCACGCTCACGAAACGCACACGAAATTCATTGATTAGTAATTAATGTACTTCCATTAAAGTAGCTGGTACCCTGAGCTCGGTTTGACCCCGCGCCGAAACAAGACAACTATTTTCCTAACTTCATTATATTTTCAGCGATTCAGTAAATTGTGTCCATTTCCCAAAATAGCATTTCAGCCTTGGGGAAGGCAGCGATTCGAATGGAGAAACGTTGGAAACACAGACCACGTCGCGATGGCGCCCGAACAGCCGTGGTGGCGGGCTGTGGTAGCCCGCGGAAGCTTGCGGATCACCTGCCTCGAAGCAGCTTGTTGAAGTTGAATTATTCCCCAATGTTGTGTCTTGTGAAACCTTTCAAAATCAATAATTGTATTTGTTTTAAGAATTTTATTTTGAAGGAAAAATAAAAAATTAAATTCCGTCACAAAATTGGTGTATTATTTTATATATTCCGAGTGAAATAATAGGAGTCTAGCCTTTCCGATACTCACCCGTGTAGTTCTAGTGGCAGACCTACAAGTTGTGAAACTGAAAATCATTTTGTAACTTCAACACATTACGTGTAATAAAAAAAGGTATCGAGTGAACAGGTAGGTAACAAAGTGAAGACATGAACATTAAAATTACTTAAAAATGACCCACAATACCTTTGTTTCGGAAATACGTTAAGCAAATATATATTACATATGTAATTATGATTGATTCAATCGATTTATTGATTCCCCTTCAGTCTTTAGATGTTTATTTGGGCATTCTCTCAATGCAGTTGAGTTTACTACGCATATTTCGAGCCCGCAGATCAAGGTGCCGGGTGGCACGCCGACATTCCAACTCCCCGTGGCTCCTACGCAGACAATATTATTCTGAGGAGAAAATTCAGTTTGACGCTGGACGTTTCGCTCGCTCTTCAGGGTGGTAGTCCGCTTGCTCGCTTGCTGCAGTTGACAGCTGCTGCTTATTCGGGGTTCGAATGGCCTCTCCCCGGACACGTTCTCCAAAGATTTCGAAGAACATCTAGGATTGTTAGTGACACGGTTGCATAACAACAATGAAAGTAAGCGACTTGTGAATACCACGGAAATACTTTCTTTTGCTTTTGAATCTCGTTCATCGTACCCTGTGCCGTCCTTGTGATATTTACCACAAACAAAGGAATAATGTCGTGCGGCAGTAACTAACAAAAGGCGTGCTTTCTCTCCCTTCAGACATGCACCACCACGCCCTGGCGGTAGCGGCGGCGGGCGCCATCTCCCCGCCCTCAGCACCCTCGGCACCCTCGGCATCGGGGGCGGCGGCGGCGGAGGCGGCGGCGGCGGCGGCAGTGGCGGCCTCCGTCGAGGCGGCATCGGTGGCGTCGGTGGCGGCGGCGGACGGCCTGGATGCGTTCGTGCAGCTGGGCGTGTTGATCGTGGAAGGACGCGTGGCGGGGGCGGCGGGCGCGGGCGGGGCGCGGGGCCCGCGGGGCTATGCCGAGGGCCCGCACTGCGCCGCCCCCGCGGCCGGCACTCCCCATGCGCGCGCCCACCAGTGTGACCCGGCCAACTTCCTGGTGAGTCCTGTGCGCCCTCTGCGCTCGCGACGGCGCGTGCCGTCCGACCCACCCAAAGCACTGCGCAGCGCCCTCTGCTCGCGTTTCAAGAGAGCGGTTTGCGGAGTTTACTCAAGACACCTTTTTAGATTTTTATTTGTTTTAATGTATTAAGAAACTACCACAGTAATATGACGCTCAGGGGCGCCCTGAGAAAATAAGGGACCTGGGATGATAGACACACGGGGCCGCTTGCTTCAAACAAGAATTCTCCCCCTCCAATTAACATACACACAATACAATTCATCTTTCCATGCAACAGAAATAACTTAAAATGCTTAATTTGAATTAGAAGTAAAAAAGTAATGTGGTTTGACTTTAAAAAATTCGGGGCTTCCAATTTGGTCGGGACCTTGGGCAAGTTGCACTATCCCCTCACTCTGGTCTTTGGAGATACAGAGGAAAAGACAGTCATCCCATTTGAAAATAATAAATATGTCGTGTCTACAGAATTGTGTTCATGATATCAGCATAGCGGATACAGGTGGTTCCCTTAAATTCATATTTGCTCAAAATAATCCTTGTACTATCTGTATTGCGCAGTTCGGGTGCAATTTGCTATTCTGAAGAATTAAACAGATCAGAATTAGTAGATCAATATTTGGCGAACCAACGGAAATATTGAGCCGATGAGGTGAAATGAGTAGGAAAAGTAAGACTTGAAAATGTAAATATTTATAGTGATGTGTCGGAAAATTCCGAGATTTCAAGAAAATGAACGTCTGTGGGTCAAACTAGTTACCTTATACTTTAATTGTTGTAGATCAGAACATTTTTTAGAGAGATATGTATTGTAATGGGTTTTATAAAAAGAAGTCAAGCAAAAAACACGTAGTTTTACATGTATTTGTAGCAAATTGAAATACAAGGAGACATCGCTATAAATATTGTAATGTTTGTAGCAAATTGAAATACAAGGAGACATCGCTATAAATATTGTAATGTTTGAAACTGTTGTATGCTGATACATGTGAGCTACCGAGGCACATTTATATACAAAATTCTAGTTTTATGTTTCATGAAGAATCGTAGTAGGCGAAATCAGATATGAAAATGCGAATGGTGTACAGATGTCGTAACGCTGCGATGTTTCAAATGAAGCGCTCTTGAGGTGGAAATTGTTCCACTCCGCGCACATAGATGGCGACACCAGCGCGCAGGACGACTGCTTGTTCTCTCGCCGGGGCTTTCTATCATCATAACGCTGGGGGGGGGGTATTTCGTTCAATACAGAGTAAGCTGTGTTTCTGCTGTTTAAACAGCATATTGACGTTTCATGCAGCGTAGCGTACCATATCTAAACAATTTTAAATGCTATGCTTCGTCACTTGCACAGAGTACAATGAAAATGGCCTTGACCAGTATTCCTTGTGAAGGTGGAAAGCGTGAGAGTACTTGTCCCGGTTTACATACTTCTTCAAGCAAGACTACTTCATAGAATTTGGAAGAACCCTAAAAATTTTAATGTTCATTTTTACTGCCCTGGTAGATAAAACTGAAAAAAAAAACACCGAAAAAGTTACATTTATGACAACGTTGCTATTTAATTTACTTAAACAAGTCCGGTTCATCAAGTCGTCCAGTGAGGAATCGTTTTGACTACGACATATCCACTAAATGTTTTCTCACGCTTTACCTCGCATTGAGCGCGCTCTTTGGTACGCCAAGAGACGCCCTAGAAACAGACTATGTACGTTGTGTTTTAACAGAATAGAGACAATGCATCAAACAGAAATATTTGCCCATGTATCTGCTATACTTAACAAACAATGACTTAGATGAAAGAAGTAATTGTTAGGAAACAAATATTTCTGAAGTAATGTCAATGCTAGAGACCTGTATTGTATAAATTCATTTGAAGCAAGAAATCGTGTTAAAACTATTAAATATTTACATTTCAAGCTTAGAGGATACACATATATTGATTACATGTCTGTCTGCCTGCCTGTCTGTCTGTCTGCGACTGCCTGCCTGCCTGTCTGTCTGTCTGCGACTGCCTGCCTGC